TCCCACATATATTTTCTTTGTAATTTTTTATTACAGTTTTAAAGTTAATAGTGAGTGGTAATAAGAATTTGTATGTAGAAAAACACATGTTTAGTATTGATGTTTCCTTATCAGGGACGACACTGGCTTGACACTGCCATATATAGAGGCTATCAAACAAGTCATCAAGATTCCTGGCAAGTCAACCTCTAGGACAATGGATGGGGTGCTAGGGAGCATTGAGGCATAACAAGTTTCATCGATGGTCAAAGAGACAGAATGCAATGTCTAATGAGGAATTTAGCTCTTCAAAATGCCAACTTTCTACCCTATAACTTTAATTTTTATGCCTAAAAAGAAATCACTTTTCCTACATTTTCTGTTTGATATGGAAAAGATGAGAAAGTCTTATATGAGCTCACTATCTCCCATTGAGTTCCTCAAACCTTCTTTATTACCTACCACCACTCATAAAAAGGGCAAAGCTTTATTTCTTGCAAATTGTATATCAACTTTCAATTGCTACTACTTATTTATCTCCTTTTACCCATAAAAACCTCAACTTGATCAAGAACAATTCTCTTTATCATAAAATATGAAAGCTTTCACCCATATATTCTCGCAACAAGTTTTTATAAATGAGCCCTTCATCACACTATCCTCCATCCCAAATTCTAAGAATAAATACCATAGTCAATATATATAGGGAGTCAAGTATGTTACCTACAGTTTAAGTAACCCAAGTAAATTCAAACTATTTTACGAATTCAATTTCAACAAGGCAGGAATGTTCTTTGGAGACATAAACATGTTCATTTCAATAAGGTATACTATACCTAATTTTAGCAGAAAAATACTTTCGCTTCTCAATAAAAAGAATTAGGCCTAAAAAAGATGAAAGAACAACCTGATTGAGGCCCTGAGTAACAGTGGCCAAAATAGGAAGAGGATCCGCTAACAACTTCTGCTCAATCTGCAAAACCGCGGACCGATAAACCAAAAGAATCTCAACAATGGCATTAGCAATAGCACGCCGATACACACTCTGATTCTCACTCTTCCTCTTAGAAATATCCTCACTCTTTTCCAATGGCGATACATTCGCACTCGCCGATCTAATCTAGCTCAAGTTCCTCGATTTTGTAGCAAATCGATCCAACTCCCTGTAGTAAAACCCTAAAAAAATAATCCTCTCAATCACATCCCTGAAAAATCAACCAAATTCCACAATTCCAACAAAATTCAACAATTAACTCAAAATTACTACAATTGAAGAAAGAAATAGAGAGAGTGATGAAGGAAAACCTGTCACTGGGAGCAATGAAGGAGAGGTCAGGGGCGAGCTTGAAGGTAAGGATATCGGCGACCGGAGAATCAGGAGAGAGAATTCCGAAGGAATCGCGGCATTCTCGTTCGTCAACGATTAGGTTGCCGGTGTATCCGAGCAATGCTAGAAGAATTTCGTGCAGCATTTTTGGTCTGTGCTGTATTAAACTCAAAAACAATGTAGTCCTTGAGCTATTAGGTAACACTCTCTTTACCGGAACGGTATTAAACTTACGAACTTATAAGCCCTAAAAGTTCTAATTCTACCTTAAAAGCCTTAAGCTTATCATTATCGGAAGTTATCGGACCTAAATCTATCTTTTCATTTCATATTCGACATCAAATTATATTATCTTATCAGCCTGGAACTTAATAGACCTTAATGAACTTATTTCAAAACTAACTTAACCCAAAACGACCAAAACCACTTCTACAATTTGGAAAGAATAACACGGAACAATTAATTACTAGTCACAGAGCACTTAGGAATTAATATATGCAGAAGTATTTAGAACTTAGTGGAACATCTTCCTCCATTGTTAGGCTGAAAATGAAACCCAAAAAAAAAAAAAAAAAAAAGTATTAGTAAAACAGGATACATTATTAGTTGAATTCAAACATTAAAGGGTTGTTCGCAATCAAATTTGATTCAATTATCAGATCATCAAATAATGCTGATAATTTTAGGGATATGTGATTCAATTATCAAATTTCTAGCAACACAATCGCTGGTTATAATCTTAGTATGTAGTTCAGATTTTCGAACCCTACACTTGACAATTAAATTAAACTAAATTAAACACTAGATTATGAAATTCATATGATAATTACTAAAAGAAACCAACAACTTACCTCGAACAAATAATTTGTAATGTAGAACGTCAAGTGCGATGTCGAAGTGCGATGTCGAGTGCGCTTCAATGGAGAATTGAGAGAGAGTGGAGCAATTCAAAATAAAACCCTAACCTGCCTAGTAATATATGCCATATAGGTCAGTTCCGTCCAATAAACAAATGGGCCGGGTCTCGATACGTTTACAAAGTGTTGTCAAGTGTCTTCACCCCGGTGTAACCAGATTTTCCTGCACCCCACTGGCCACTCCTGTCTAATTATTAAATGTTCATTTTTTGGAATGAATTATTAAATACTTAATTTAATTATGCTAGTAAGACGTGAAATGTTTAAAATATTACTGGTATATTTTTGTATTTGTGTTTTTTTATGACTATTTTGTTATTAATAAGTTTAGTTATTTAATGAATTTACTTTTGTTTGAAAAATACCTTTTGATATTATACAAAATTAATTCAATTAACTATAATATCATTGGTGCTTTATCATTCGAAATTGGAAAAAGCTAGCAAACGTTTTGGAGGCGTTGGATGAGATAACTAAAAGTCGAAAAATTATATCAAAATGAACATTAATTACACCGATCGACGCGTGATTTTGACATGCATTCTCAAATTAATACCACTTTAGGAAATATTTTCAATGAGTATCTAACGTCCCGGGGGTGCTCATTAGCAAAATCTTTTGAAATTATTACACATCCACTGTTTCTTAGGCGTAAACGGGAACATCTTTAACTTCCCAAATGTACATTTACTATTTGAAAAATACACGTCTAGTAATGTAGAGCTATCATCCGTGTTCACCCAAAATCCAATGTTGTTGCGTGTTTTGCTTACAATCAAAATCTCGACACCATTATATATAACACCTTCAACTTCTCTATGACCCGAAAAGTGATTATATCACTCAAAAGATAATTATATCATTCGAAAAGTAATTATAATATTTATAAGGCAAGTATATCATCCAAAAATTGATTACATCATCTAAAAGATGATTATATTATTTAAAATGTAATTATATCATTTAACAAATAATTATACCATTTAAACGATAATTATATCATCCAAAAGATAATTATATCATCTAAAAAGTTTATATCATCTAACTAAATTATTTAAAATACAACTCACAACTAGATAATTATTTCAGCAGTGATTTTGTTCCTACTTTAAAGGAGTTATAGACCCAGTTGTTTTATACATTTGGATAAGGGATTTCGGCTTATATACTTTGAACTATCCTGTTATAATTTTTAGACCCATGTGTAAGCATAAATCTCTTTTCAAGTTGTTTCCAAATCTCAGCATTTTTGATAGATTCAGAGACATATGAAGCCAAGAGATTACCATGGCATTTGTTTTATCTTCCTTGTTTCGTGTCACAGTTTTCTCTTGGATGAGATCTGTATTTCCAGAGCCATTCTCCAAGATTTGTATTCAATTGCTCCTTCTAGCTTAGTAACATTGACTTAATGAGGTCCATCAATGGGTGAACAAACAGAGGATTTTGCATTTCGGCAAATGTAAACTTAGACATGGTTGCAAAAAAGAAGAAAAAAGCCGTAATTTGGTTGGACTTCCTGACCCCTTATTTATTCATTCGATTTGGAATAGCTCTTTCTCTCTGGCACTCTGTATGTGCTCTTATGATAGTAAGATCTTCCTCTTCTCGTATGCCAAGATAAAGGAGAATTCTCACTCAATGAATCCATATCCCGGGTTTTGGCTATATTATTTGAGAGGATTAAATTATTGAGTCTACGATAATTTTAGTGTAGACCGGATTCATACAAAACCTAAGCATCTCAATAGGTTTATAAAGCTGAAATATAGTCATGCTACTTATTACTTCAAACCGATAAAGAATTGCTATATTGTTACTATGAAATAAAATAAAAGCTAAGAAACACCTAAGGATCCTTTAAAACACCCTAAAGCCTTCAACTAGTCAATTCATTATCCTTCCTATTAGTGAACTGTTTGTAGCTCCTTGGATCAAATTTGGGATCATCATCTTCATCCTCCATGGGTTCAGGAGTTTGAGGCAAAATTACCTACTTCACTATTAAGTCTACACTGTACATTTAAGGGAAGAGAAGAGCTGACTCGTGGACAAGGGCAATGGGGGTGAAAGAACTATGGTGTATAGTTAAATCACCTTTACTGTTTTTCACGGAGTGTTTCAAACATGCAATTTAATGTTAACCTAGATTACTTGAAAATTTTAGAACATGGAAAACTTTAAAGAAATTTTGTATTTTATCACCCATAAATAACCCACTTTTTGAAATTACCACCTAAAAAAAATATATTTAAATAACCACCTATAAAAGACAAAAAAAATTAGATTTTACCACCAAAACCGTTAAATCTAACGTTTTAAAATAAAGATTCGATTTTTGTGTCAAAAACATGCTCTTTAGAGATTTTGGGTGTCATTTGCCTCAATTTGCGTGTGTCACACAAACCGAGGTATCTTCTAGTACGCAAAAACGAGGCTTTTTCACTCATTTTTTGTAAATTTTGACATCAAATCAGATCCAAAGGGTAAAAATGACCTCCAAAACATCTAAAAAACATACTTTTTACTCGAAAATCAAAAAATGTTTTATAAACGTAAACTTAATGGTTTTTTTAACAAAGAGTGGTAAAATCTTTTTATTCTTTTATGGGTGGTAATTAAAAAAAATAAAATTGGGTGGTAATTTTAAAAGGTGGGTTATTTATGGGTGGTAAAATATAAAATTTCCAAACTTAAAACATTTTTGTTGATGTCTAAATACTTCGTATAACATGATATGTTGACAACAATCAGTAGAATTATTTACATATTTGACATAAGTTCCACATTTCAAATTATTAACAGTTAACTATGAATCTGATACTGCAAATCACGATAAAGAGACATAATATGTATGTGACCAAAGCAAAGATAATTCGGGAGACAATCAGATTTCTATCCTTGAGTCTAACTAAAGCAACTCAGACAAACTACTTGGCCATACTTCAATGTAATCCTAGCACAAATGACACCATTATCCAGCGACCAATCTCACAAGAATAAAGGCTACAGCTATTCAGAACATATTTCTGTCCAACATATTTTCCACACTTCCACTAGGCTAATACTACTCTCGGATGACATTGGCATAAAAGGGGCCATCCGCAGAATCAGGCCATCAGCAGCTCACGCGAGTCAGGTGACTGCAAAATTACTTTGGATTCCTTAAGACAATGATAACTGAGTCTCCTCGAAGGAACATCTTGCTAATGAACCTGTCCTTGTTCACTGGCTGTGCCTTTTTCTTCCCTTTCCCAGTCTTCGGAGTCTGCGACATGACAACAAGAAATTACATTAATATCACAGCATGTGAAAAGCCATGAAATAGATAACTTTGCTCCCTCCACCTTCAAAAAATAGTGACAGTTCTGTTTTTCCTTTCAAGGGTTAAACTGCATAAACAATTATATGTTCCATTCTCAGGATCTGATACTAAGTAATATTTAATCATGGGGCAAAGAGGGAAGGGGATTGTAGATAGTTAAGACAAACCTCAGTCCACATCTCCCTGACATTTTCAAGAACCATATTGCAGTGACGATCAAAAGCTCTCACACGTCCAAACAATTTTCTGTTGTTTCGGCAATTGATAAGGACCTGAAGAGGTAATCAGAAGATTTAAATACCAACAGAGCAAATTGCGATATAAAGGGATGTGTAAACATGCTCCTCTTGCTAGGAAATATTTTGGAATATGAAAGCAAATACAGAAGGGAGTGTATATCAATATATTGTGGAAATTGTAAATAATGATAAATTCAACTTAAATGAGAAAATGTGAATAAAGTAGTTATCTGGTACCTGCGTGTTATTCTTGACACTCATCATAAGTACAGATAGTGGACCAGTATTAAACTCCTCTTCCTCATTCTTCCCCTTCAAAAGTTATCAAACAGTACAGTTGTTCATCAGCTTGAGTGTAGAGGCAACATAATTAGTTAACACGCTTAACAGAAGACGAGTCAGACAGGCCATCTAAAGCATAGTTCATGCAGAAGCCATTTTAATATAGTCCAAAATATTCCAGGTGCACCTTATTATAACACCTTAGCACAGAAGAGTGAGCACATTACCTTACAAAACTAATATGCAAAGCACCTTCTAAGTCACAACAATATTGATACTGATTTAACAAATCTACAGTGATATAGATTTCATTTCCAACTTGAAACAACATTTATCTACTCCGCAAATTCCTCTTGCAGTCCATCTAATATACAGTTTATATCCCCTATTATTATTTTAGAAATGTTATATTGCAAGAAGCTTTCAAGACTTATACAACAAAATGCCACTGTGGTGATTAATCAATCAATCAAAGCCTTAATCCCATAAGTGGGGTGGCTACATAAACCAAAAGTGATTATTCCGTATAGTCATCCTGAAAAATCTTCTTCCTCCATCCCTTACGATCAAATACCTCATTCTCGTGCAGCATTTTTGGTCTGTGCTGTATTAAACTCAAAAACAATGTAGTCCTTGAGCTATTAGGTAACACTCTCTTTACCGGAACGGTATTAAACTTACGAACTTATAAGCCCTAAAAGTTCTAATTCTACCTTAAAAGCCTTAAGCTTATCATTATCGGAAGTTATCGGACCTAAATCTATCTTTTCATTTCATATTCGACATCAAATTATATTATCTTATCAGCCTGGAACTTAATAGACCTTAATGAACTTATTTCAAAACTAACTTAACCCAAAACGACCAAAACCACTTCTACAATTTGGAAAGAATAACACGGAACAATTAATTACTAGTCACAGAGCACTTAGGAATTAATATATGCAGAAATATTTAGAACTTACTGGAACATCTTCCTCCATTGTTAGGCTGAAAATGAAACCCAAAAAAAAAAAAAAGGTATTAGTAAAACAGGATACATTATTAGTTGAATCCAAACATTAAAGGGTTGTTCGCAATCAAATTTGATTCAATTATCAGATCATCAAATAATGCTGATAATTTTAGGGATATGTGATTCAATTATCAAATTTCTAGCAACACAATCGCTGGTTATAATCTTAGTATGTAGTTCAGATTTTCGAACCCTACACAGTGGTGGTGAATTTCTCAAATTAAAATCTCTTATGTAAGATGGTAAGGTTTCAGACTTGCTGGAGAAAGCGCAGAAGGTTGTAAAAAAGTGGGAAAATGAGAATAGGTGGGTTTGGTTTTAGACTTGCCGGAGAAAGCGCAGATTGCTGTAAAGCTAAGTTATACGGCCGAGAAAACAACAAGTTGGCAACCATAGAACTTGGACGCTTTTGTTAACAATATAAATTAAACCAAAAAATCAGAAATTATATGAACAAGAACAACAATATAAATTAAAAATTACATGAACAACAATATCAATCAGAATTATATGAACAACAAAATAAATCAGAACTAAAAATCAAAAAAAAATCACATGCAAAATATCCTTTCCCGTCAAACAACAAATCAGCAACTGGTCTACCCTTTCCCGTAAAAAAAAAAAAACAAATCAACAATAGAAATTAACAACAAAAAATTTAGGCATATTAAGACTATTATCGAGCAAGAACAACAACAAAAACTGTATTAAAAAAAAAAAAAAAAAACGAAACGGAAACAAAAGCAATTAACTGAAACTTACCTTTGAGCTTTGACGGCTTGAAGGAGAGGAAGATTTGAATATGGAACTGGAGATCGAAAAAAATAAACCGAGAATGGAGAACTTCAGAAATCAGGGAACTTGAGATCGAAAAAAAAACCGAAACGAAAACAAAAACAACTTACAAAAAAATTACCTTTGAGCTTCAGAGTTTGAGACGTTGAGCTAATGAGCTTGAGCGTTCAGATGAGATGAGAATGGAGAAGCTCAGAAGACAGAAGCAAGAGAAGTGAGAAGACTGAGAAGTGAGAACGAAAGATTTGAGGAGAGAGAAAATGTGAAAACTGAAATGATGAAAAACGGCTGTTTAGGTTTTTTTAGGGTTTTAAGTTTTCCTCATTTTAGGTTTCAATTTGGGCTTGGGCAGTTGGGCCAAGTAATAAACGAAAAAAAAAAAAAACAACTCTTTTTTCGGGTTATAAGGTCGGGTTCGGGTTGACCCGATCTAATTTTGACCCGAAAATAATTTTGGGTTATGTGGGTCATTTCCGGGTTGAAATTTTCAACCTTAACCTAACCCATTTAATTTCGAGTCGAGTTCGTGTCAACCCATTTAAGTTTTCGTGTTGAAATTCTCAACCCTAACCCGCTATTTTCGGATCGGGTCAGTTTTTGCCATTCCTACAGCCATAATAATGAAGCTAACCACCCTTTGCAATTTACTTTGTTCCGCATCATGAATCCAAATTTTAGGAACAAATGAATAAAAAGATGATATATTGCTATTCCTCATCATTTTCAAGTAGATATTCAAGAACTTAGACTACGTAGTATATAGATACGAGTACATTTTTTTGCTTGTTCCTCAAGGCAAAAGTTAATATTGTTAACTTTTTTGAAAAAGTACAAGCAAAACTCACACAAGCAATTACATTTAATTGACAACAAAAGCAATTACATTTAATTGACAACAAAAGCAATTACGTTTAATTGTCAAATTGTAGGGCCTACATCATGTAGTTTATACTCAAATTTACTAAGTTTTTTATATCACTCACCTAATTAATTACTTCCTCCGTTTCTAATTAGATGACACGTTTCTTTTATCACGTTTGCCAACGTACAATTTTAACGATTTATATCTCCCATTATCAACATTGTAAAATTATAAAAAGAAAATATAAATAAAATATACATTAAGACTATTCAAACAAGATCCCACATGATTATATTTTATCGTAACTACAAATCACAAAAGCTAGTCAAAGTGTTGTTTATAAATAGGTGCAAAAGTCAAACTGTATCATCTAAAAAGGAACGAGGGAGGTACTAAATAAAACATAAGAATATTCATGATTTCATATTCTAAATTAAATAAATAAGAAATAATTTTCTGTTGGACAACTCTTGTTCATTTTATATAATAAAGTGAAACGGCAAGTTTTACAAATCAGTGAAACAATTTAAAGTTCCTATATCATGTAACACTATATTATTCAATGCAATTGTTATCACCATCATGCATATCAATTGCAGATTCATTTATTGAATTGAATTTGCATCCTACTCATCACAGTATTGAATTGAATTTTCAGCCTATTCATCACATTGTAAAATCAATCAAGTAATTAACAGCTCCTACATCATATAACACTATGCTCTCTTATTTTTGATAGCACAAAAAGAAAATTGATTCAATATAAAACAACTTCTATATTTATACCTAATGAACAACACCTATTAATCACACTTAACAAGTCTGATAATTCTCAGTCATATACATAACCACAAGTAATACACATGATAACTAAGGGTTTGTTCTGATTTACTGAACTAAACTGAACTATTTATGAGAGAAGAAAATTAGGAACTGAACTGAACAGAAGTTAAGCTGAAGAGAACAAGCCCTAATACACAATATTGCTACACATATAAGTACACATACTACATATTATAATATCCCTCCATAGTCTCTTTATTATCACCAAACGATCGATACTTAGCAAATAATCCCGATAACTTGGGGAACCGCACGCAACACGCGTGGGTCCACAACTAGTAAAGTTAAAAATAAGGAGCAACACCACATGATTTGATTATCATGTCCACAACTAAATTTAAAGACTTAACATACTACATTTGACTTAATAAACAAATTAATAAACATGTGTTCCCATACAGAAGGAATTACCGTTCAACATTGCATCCTATTTACTGTCACAAAATTTAAGAGGTAAAATAAGTTAGGGCTCGTTTGGTTGAATGAGGGAAATGCAAATTCCTAGTAAATTTATATTTCCATGTAATTGGAACTCCTAAGAAATGTCAAATTGTGTTTGGTTTAATCATGGGTAGTGGAAATTCCCATGAGAAGTTTTACTCCCAGGTCTCCCTAGGTGATTAAATTCTAATCAAATTCCTCTATTTTGTGGGAAGTGGAACTTCAATTCCTAGAAATTTTATTTCCATGGATTTGTCAATCAAACAACACCTTATTCCCAATCAATCGAATTATGTATATATGGATATAAGAAGAAAAAAAAAATGGTCCCTAGGATAATTAAGGCCTAAACTAGCAATGCTAGATAAAATCAATGGTTAATAAAGATTATAAACTTGAGCATAGAGTATTACTAGAGGTGTCAATTCGGATGTGAGGGTTAGATTCGATGAGGTCAGGTCTAATTTCAAACTTGAGTCATGCTAAATTATTGTGCTCATGTGTAGACACTTAAAAATGTCTCCCCGACTGAAACCCGATGATGAGTAAAACATTTCATCGCCATTTGATTCGAGTAAAGTGTTGAAATAAAGGAGTACTTAATTTTATTTCTAGATCCAATCCATTTCACTTTTCTAGCCCATACCTATTTCAATTTCAAGCCCAAACCATTTATTTTAATACTTTCTCAAGCCCAATTTTAAATATTCAATAACCATCCGATTTACAAAACAATCCAAGTTTGATACGAACTTCTAGAACTCCTAAACGTGTACAAAGCCGGGTAAAACAGATAATTTTCCACATGGGAACACATGAAAGAGATAAAATATTAGTATTCCAGATTTAGCAAAATGTCGTCACGCGACATTTTCATCACGTCGCGGTAAATAGTCGTCACGCAACATTTTCATCTCGTCGCGCCAGAAAACTCCGTCACGGCGCGATGGTCGTTTTGTTTAGGCGCCAACTTTTCTATCTTTTTTCCCGAATTTATTCCTATAAATACTGTAGCCTTTCAAGGGTTATGGGCATCATTTTCTGCTCACATTCTCCCTAATACTCTTGTTCCTTAATCTCTCATCTCTCAAATCTTTTACAATTCCTCCTTCTAGTACTCCTAGGCATCAATACTTTACCCAAACCTCTATCGGCGGTACATTGCGTGAACGGTTGATCATAAACTTTGAGGGTTTCAATCTAAACTCAATTTACTTTACTTTAATTTAATTTTGTTTTATTTAGTTTGTTTTGATTTATATTTTATTGAAGTTTACTAATGGATTATTCATGATGTAGTTGCAAGGTTTCACATACAATCAAAGTAAGTAAATTTAATCATTCATTTGTTTAATTAATTCTACAATGTTTATTCTTGGTAGCATCATGTTTAGGATCGTTATTTTTAATTATTATTATTAGTATCATGTTTAGGCGTTTTATTAATCATGTTAATTAGTATCATGCCTAGAATTTTATTTAAATTTATAAGTATCATGTTAGGATGCATTTAATTTGTTCCTTTAATTATTATCTAATTGCTTCCTATATTTATGCATGCTTATTTAATTTTGGATTTATTCTATTTGTTTTGATCACAATATTGCATGTGTTAATCAAGACTTGTAATTGAGAATCACGCCTAATAAGATAATTTGGACAACCGGTTTAGATTTCCATTAATCATGTTGTTTAATTTAAGTGATCACAATAATTAGAATTATGTGTGCATTAATATTCAACCGACGTAGATTAATTAGTTTGGAGCGATTTGAATATTGTTTGTCTTTTGAGTTGCAATTAATACATGTTGCTATTAGAATCGAATTGAGGTCAATACAAGCAGAATTGACTTCATCATGACGTATTCAATCTGTACCATCATCCCTAAATATCCAGTCATGGTTAAGGACCACTATGAAGTTAGTAATCTCATAGATTATGAATGGGGTATAACCTTCATGGATCAAATCCTTGTTGCCTTTGGTTTGTCCCTTTTCGTGGTTGCCTTTAATGTTCCATGAACAGTTTACAATCAATTCCTTAAAAATTTATTGGCGGCTCCCTACTTTTATCCCTAATCGTTTTAATGTCAAATCCAATCAACTTCCTATGATTGCCAATCATATTCACAACTGCACTTCGAGCGACGCCTACACCATGCGAGTCGAAATCTGAATTGGATATTTTTCGAGTTGGTTTCGAATCGGGTCGGTTGGGTCAGGTTTTTACACCTCAGAGTACTAAAAGTATTAAGGAGTTCAACATAGTGTATACAACGTATTTGAGAAGGATAGTATAGTCCAAAGAAATTCCAAACCATTGTAACCCCTTTTCTATAAAGAAATGTAGATGAGTACTTTCTCCGTTTTTTTATAGTTGCAACACTTTGACTTTTACACTATTCATGTGTTTCACTTTGACAATTTATACTTAAGTGGAAATATAGTCATGTGAGATCTTGTTAGATTCGTTTCAATTTATACAATTTTAATATCTAATATTTATAATTTTTACATATTGGTAATCAAAGATATTAACGATTGAAAACATGCAACGACAAGCGTGAAAATAAAAGTGTTGCAACTATAAAAAAAGCAGAGGAAATATTACATAAGTGAAGGGAAAGGTAGTAGGTACTAGGCTACTAGCCACTAGGTAGTGTTGTCCAAATTAAACTCCCAATATGCCCTTATTATTTCACAGAAAAAACGACAACTATAGCTCAAAATTATCAACCCAAAAAGGCAAATTGTGATATTAATCAAGCGAATAAAACACAGTTAAACCAAAAAAAAAAAAGTTATCAAGCAATTGTGATTGATGATCTTATGTTCTTTCTACTCAAAACAAATTAAGAAAATCACATACCGGAAAAGAAGAATCACACAATATTCCTTATTATCTTAACTTCCTATAATATATCACATATATCTTTTCACAATAATATCTTATATGATATTATTATCATAATATCATATCACAATATACATTCATATCTCAATACCCTCCCTCAAGTCGGAGGTGTAGATCTCGAACGTTCGACTTGGACAATAAAATAAAATCTGCATCATGTCACCATCAAGTAGCAATATGTAATCATCAAACGATTCGCCGAAAATCACAAAAATAATCC